ACTACCACCACCATAACCTCTACAATGCTAATGATACTACCACTACCATCCAAAAGGTTTACGCTACTACCACTATGATCATGACGTCGCTACTACCACCACCACCACCACACTAACATGTGCCAATGATATTATACTACTACAGTATCAAAGCTCCTGCTACTACTACAACAAACTTCTACTCATACCTATATTTACTATTGTATACCAATGTCACTACTAACATAAACCATATCACTACTAAAAGAGTTAAATTTTCTATTATTATACACTATTTTATCAATATTGTCTCATGATAATTATCACTATAAACAAAACCAAGATATTCTATCCTACGAAGAAAAAAGAGATTAACGATTTGGCTCAAAATTTTTCAGGACAATTCTGTCAAAAATATTCAACTAACCAAAATTTTAAGTCTCTATCTCATGAAGAAGGATCTAAAGGACCCCGCACTAAATACACAGAAAATGGCTTACGGTTAAATTTGGCTATATTTTGAGAATTTTTAGTTGAAAGTGTCCTGATTGAAAAAAAAAATTGTTCGAAGGTCATTGAATGAATAGTTTAGCTAAAAAAAATGTCGAAACAACGCTACGCCTAATGAATTTACGTATCTAAGTGGGCAAATCACTTGTTCGAAAGTGAATATTAAAAAAATTAATTCATTGACCTCTGGACAATTGGTTTTTCAATCAGAACACTTTCAACTAAAAATTCTCAAAATATAGCAAAATTTAACCGTAAGCCATTTTCTGTGTATTTAGTGCGGGGTCCTTTGAATTAGTCACTTTTGACTAATTCTCAGTTAAAAATGACTAATTTGTAGAAAACTGTACTAATTTAGAGGCCATTTTCACCGTGTGGATAGATTTAATCCTCTGAGAGGTTAAAGGCAGTAGATATATTCTGCGTCTGCGCAGGAGCTGTATACAAACATTCTGCGCAGACGCAGAATATATCTACTGCCTTTAACTTCTCGGAGGATTAAATTTATCCACACGGTGAAAAGGGCCTCTAAATGAATAAGTATATAGTTTTCTACACGGACAAAAATGGAAAAAAGAATAAAGTAATTTTTACTATACTAAAAGTAAAACCGGAACTGCCCGCAGTTTCTGCGCATTTCTGGCATTTATTACTCCAGAAATAGTAAAATTTAATATTTCCGGAATAATTTTTACTATTTCTGGAGTAAAAATTTCCAGAAACTGCGGACAGTTCCGGTTTTACTTTTAAAGTATAGAAAAAGTTACTTTTATTCGATTTTCCATTTTTTTTCCGTGTACTATCAATTAGTCATTTTTGACAATGAATTAGTCAAAATAGTTACTAATTTCTTTAATGAACGAATCAGCACAGTAGAATTATGTTACATTACTCGTGAATTTAACCATTATTTCTTGTTAAACAAATCAGAATTTTTCTACTAAAAAAATGGCTTGGATATTTATTTACATATACTGTATTCTATAGTCGATCTCATGAGAAATTAAACAGAATTATTTATCTAGAACTGTACATACTCTTATTAAATTATTATTTCTTGTTAATACATATATGTATAACGAGAAATTTATTGACTAGATGCATCTAGTAACTTTAATTAGAAATTTATTTTACAGTACAAAAAATTTTAACACTAAGAATATAAAATATAAGAAATTTAGAAAAAATGCATTTTTTATATGTGACGCGATCTGAAGAAAGGGACCTTAAAAGCAAAAAATTATAGGGTACATTTTGAAATTTTAATGTGAAAATACAGAAAGACGTTCAACTCGAAATGCAAAGTAATGATATTTAGGTTTTCATTACATTCTAAAATATTCAATAAAAACTGATTTCAGTTTTACAAAAACAAAAATAAACTTTTAATTCAAGTAAAACTGTCGTAAACATAACCTATAATTCATTTGCTTCTAAGGTACTGGTACCTTAGACCGGCCTTTCTTCAAATCGCATTACATATTTGTTTTTGCAATTTATCATTTGTTTTGGATAGTTTGTGTAAAATTACAGCTGTTAATTTAAAGCTATCAAATTGTAACTAATTGATACAAATATCTGAAGCATAAAACGCATGTACGGAGAAAAATGGAAAACAAAAATAAAGTAACTTTTACTATTTACAAAGTAAAACGTTAACTGTCTGAAATTTTTACGCATCTCCAGCAACTTTTGCTTTGGAAATAGTAAAAAAAAATAGTAATATTCCTAAGTAAATTTTACTATTTCTGGAATAATTTTTTCTATTTCCGAAGCGAAAGTTGCCATAAATGCGCAGAAGTTTCGGTCAATTCAGAGGTTTTACTTTGTAAATATTAAAAGTTACTTTATATTTTTCTCCGTGTGATTTAATTCAAATATTGGCATCAATTTGATCCAATCAGGTATTAATTTGATATCATCAATAAAACAGTTTAGTAACTCTCTGCTATAACTAGTGACCGTTATCGTTACTGGACGCCTGGTGAGAACTTTGAGAATTACGTTCTGTGACGCTAGAGTGCACGGAGAAAAATGGAAAAACGAATAAAATAACTTTTACTACTTTAAAAGTAAAAATGAAACTGTCCGCAGTTTCTGCGCATTTCAGGAAATTTTTACTCTAAAAATAGTAAAATTTACTATTTCAGGAGTAATTTTTACTATTTCTGGAGTAAAAATTGCCAGAATTGCTCAGAAACTGCTCACAATTCCGGTTTTACTTTTAAAGTATAGTAAAAGTTACTCTATTCGTTTTTCCATTTTTCTCCGTGTCTTAGCATAAGCAGAAAGTGAATTTTTCACTGCAAAAAGAAGTATATCTTATTTTAAGATGTTTTTGTAGCGTTTTCAAGGCATCGAGACATCTTAAATATCTTAATGTCTTAATAAAGCTACCAAAACATCTTAAAATAAAATACTTCTTTTTGCAGTATTGTTAAAAGATATTCTGTATAAAGAATTCTAAAGCATTATTCTTTTACAATTTTTTGTAATCAAAATTTTCCTTTTTTTCAAGCATAAATGGATTTTTTAAACTTATTTTCGAAAAAGATGTCAATTTTTACTAAATGAACGATTAAGAGCCTTTTTTATGAGATAGGAACTTAAAATTTAGGTTAGTTGTGTATTTTTGGAGGTAGAATATCCGACTGAACAATTTGAGCTAACAATAAATCGCAGTAATCTAATCAGTTCTACCCGTGGAATACCTGTCAAATAAGGGTACGACAACAGCTCAACTGTATCTAAATAGGGTTGTCATGGTAATCGTATAAGAGTGAGAGAAATAAGAACATTCTTCATTTCTCTCACTCCTATATACGTTTCCATAACGACCCTTCTTAGCTACAGCTGAGCTATGATCGGTACCCTAAGGATGATTTTCGTGCAGCCTGTTCTGCAAATATCGTCCTAATACACACCAAAAAAAATAATAGTTTCTTTCAGTTCAATTTTGACCAAAAATGTTAACATTAGAACCATTTTTACTGAATTCGATCCTAGTGTATGATTTTAAATCCTAAAATTGACTTAATCTATAGTTTTAAGATAAAAATTACGCTAGTTTTCAGACATTTTGATTTTAAGATGTTAACGGTTTCAGTATTTGTTTTTTGTGTGTATAAGAGTTAACTAAATTTTTTCTTCGTACGAAACCTTACCCAGGTGGAAAAGTTCCCGGTAGTCACGACCGGTAATTTTTCCTAGATTACCAGTATAGTAATTCTTCCGGTACTATCGGTAGTTACTACCGGTAATTCCTCCGGTACTACCGGTAGTCACTATCGGTAATTTTTTCGTTACTACCGGTAGTCACTATCGGTAATTTTTCCGGGACTACCGGTAGTCATTACCGGTAATTGTTCCGGGAGTTACAATCAAAATTTGTTATTTGGTAATAAATTTTTATTTACCGGTAATGGCTACCGGAAAAATTACCGATAGTGACTACCGGTAGTAACGAAAAAATTACCTGTAGTGACTACCAGTAGTACCAGAAAAATTACCGGTATTAACTACCGGTAGTACCGGAAGAATTACCGGTAGTCCCGGAAAAATTACCGATAGTGGCTACCGGTAGTCTAGGAAAAATTACCGGTTGTGAATATTCCGGTAGCGGGAGCGGTAATGACTACCGGTAACTTTTCCACCTGGGTATGTCATACATTTGAAGAAAATTACTATCTACATAGGATAGATACTTTTTTTAAACAGTACGACAGAGTATTTTTGTATCGACAAAAAAAGGAGACTTCCAACGACCTTTCTTTCTCTCTTCCTCTCTACTTTGAGATTAAATTTTTTTTTGAATATCCCCATAATTCTTGCTAATCCAACCAAATATTGTATTAGTGGTTTTGTTACAATACTGTTGGGTTATTTTAGCGGCATCCATGCGCTTGGCTGTACTAACCAAAACAGTAGACTAAGGGCCAGTTTCACCAACTCCGGTTAACAGTTAATCAGCAATTAAAGCCAATTTAACCACTCATGATTGGTCGGTTAGGGATTTAATCGCTGATTAACTTTTAACCAGAGTTGGTGAAATTAGCCCTAACAAGACAGTAGACTAACAAGACAGTAAACTAACAAAACAGTAGGCTAACATAACCTTAAATTAGAGACAATTCAAACATAATATTGCTATTATTGCGAGATACGAAAGAGTGCTAAATCGAAAAGTAGAGAACCCTTGATCAGAAGCGTAATTCTAAATCTTATATATGCATATATATTCTCTATCTCGATTACGTTCTCATACTGCACCCGTGACAGACGAACTGAACAACAAGGAGCGCGAGCACCGGATATAAATAAAGTTTTAAGAAGAGGAAAAGCAAAGAGAAAGGGAGACGAATAACGATATAGCAAACTAACAGACGGAGGGAAAAGGATAGAGAGAAAAAGAGAGAGAAAGAGAGAGAGAGAGGGCAGTAGAAAGAGAGAGGTGGAACGTGGTTTGACGTTTCTTCCGGCGAGTCCAATGAGGCGCCGCGCGCGTTCGACCCCGAGCGTTAGGCCGTCGATTGCTCTTCGGATTCTCTCTCTACACTATATGTGAGTTCGAGAGCACATTACTACGTTGACACACAGCAAGCGCCGACGCTCACAATCAGCTCTCGTTCGTTTCGCCGCTCACTACTCTACTACTCTCCGAGCCAGAAAGAGAGAGAGAGAGAGAAAGAGAGAGAGAACTCCTCGCTTACAAACTAGTCGGTCACCGACAACGACGCGGTGATGTTTACAGTTTAAAAGTGTTCCGCTCAGTGTTCTCAATAATTTATTGTGTACAGTGACAATTAACGTGAATACAAAAAAAAAAAAAGAAATTAATTTTTTGTGCTGTGCGGCAAATTAAGTGCATATTGTGACATCATCCACTTTTGGATTAACTTTACCAAGTGCTTATCTTATCTCTGGAGAATAATGCAAATTGTCCTTGATCTCTAGGGTAAGTTTTTTTTTCAAAAAAATTAAATTTTCCCCGCTTTTTATTTGGATTAAAAAAAAAAAAAAAAAAAACACGTGACGACCGCGGGAAGTGATTTGAACTTCGCGCCGATTTTCCATTGGGAGAGAAAAAATATGAAATAGTTGTGACAATATACAGGAAATGTTAAAATCAAATCCATTCTTTGTTTTAATTTTTTTTTTGAAAGTTTTTGTTTCACGTCAACTTTAAATTTTGAACGATAAGAACGAGTGTTTAGTCTACAATTTCTTTTTAATTTTTTTTTTTTTTTTTTGCATTTCTCGGGGTTGTGGAACTAAAGGAGATTTCTGTCATCAAGTCTTGGAGGCAGTGTGTATATATACATATATACATTTTTATTGCCTCAAGCTCTCTCATATCGCGCACGCTTTCACAATGGTTTAACTGTTCTAAAGATTTGTCGCTTTCATCCCGTGCTCTATACACAAGTGAATCATATATCCAAGAGTCTGTTTATGGGAGTAGGGAAAAGCAATGCAAAAAGTCACGTACACCATGTTATTGTAACAGAAGAACAAAAACACAATTTTTTTTTTTACAATTTAGAAAATATTTTTTATATTTTTTGTATTAAAAATAAATATTAATTAAAAATTTTTTTTAACTACCTGTTAAATTTTTAAAAACTAAAAAACGATTTTCATTAAAATTTCTCCCAAGTGAAACCCAACCAATTGTTTTCAAATAAACGTGTTGCTAAATCTCTGCGAAAATGTTTCCTGTTAACTGTATATATATATATACATATGTACTGTCAAGTTGCGTAATTAAATCATTTGTATTTTAAACTAACAGTGTATAAATATAAATCAAATTCGAAAAAAATTTTTTTTTTAAATTTCCAATTTTTTTTTCTTTGTCCCAATTTATATTCCTTCTCTCTCTCTCTCTTTCTCATTCTCTCTCGGAGAAGATAACGATTGCCTTAAAGAAGTTCATTGACGTGAGACGCTAAACAGAAAGTCATCATCTTTTGATAAATTTATTTAAATTTTGCGATTTCAACATTTTTTTTTTTTTTTTAACACTAAGACAAGTGAAATATATTATTAATATTCACTTATTATCTTATTTAAACATTAATCTTGTATATTTATCCATCGTACTTTTTTTATTTAAACTTGATTTCAAATATCCTTGAAAAGATTTCTTATCACTTTTTAAAAAAAAAAAAATTATGTTATTTAATTTTTTAAAATAAATTTAATTTTTCAATAAAATCAATTATAAATTACATTAATTTTATTTAAAATACATTTTTTAATAAAATAAATTTGAAATTAAATTTACTATTCGATTTCATATTGATTATTATATTTTTTATTTAACTTTTTACCCTTGCATTTATAATAATGGAAACCGTATAAAAATTTAAATGCCAATTACTTTAATTGAATCCGGGGGCCTAATTGACTATAATTAAATAATGAAAATAATTTTTGTAAATAACGTGTCTGTGAGCAAAAAAATAAAAAAAAAAAAGGTACAAAAATTTGGAACGTGCGAGTGACGTTGTCAACAGAAACTTTCAACGCTTCTGTCAAACTGCCATCATGTACACGTCCAATTTTTTTTTCTCTCTCTCTCTCTCTTTGCGCACGACGACCTTCATAGCAATTCCTTTTTCTTTCAACGAATGAATTAATAAATAATTTATAAAACTCTTGTCGTGCAGGTGATTGAAAACACATGTAATGCCTTATTACGTACATGACAAAAAATAATTTTTTTTTTTTTCGAAAAAAAAAAAAAATTAGCACGCAATTTCTTGTTAAAATGATAAGAGAATAATCATTGGCTTCTTATCAATTTTAAAAAGAAACAATTTATTATTATTTCAATTGGATTAAGAAAGATTCGCATTTGCTTTCGAATTTTCGTCACGTTAAATATATGTATACACAAAAAAAAAGGATATACATAAATATGTATATAATTCTCGACAGGCAACGCAATGGAGAGTCAGTGACGTAACTAAAAAGGGGATGGGGGAGGGGAGGTGTGTGTATATGTATGTATGTGTTCGATAGGAAACAGACACTGGCTCGTGCCACTCAATTGACAAGGTGGGGAATTAAATCCCGAGTTGAAAAATATATTTAAGCAAGATATTTCCTCTATTTCGTGACATTGACAATTATTATTTTTAATTTATTAATGTATTTCTTAATGTTTTTTTTATCTTTTTCAAAAAAAAAAAAAATTTTTTTTTTTTCTTTACGATTATATTGATCGATATAAGGAAACAAAATAATTTTTTGTACGCGCCTGTTGCTTGAAAAATAGTAAATTTATAATATTAATAATCCAATATAATTATGATGCTTCAATTAAACCGCGAATTAATTATTATTTATTTACGAGATCAAGTTTTTTCGTGTAAATTGATTTAATTGGAATAAAATAGTCTGGTCGATATTCTTTTATTAAATTTAATATACTTAATAATTTAGAAGATTTTTACACGACAAAATATATATGATAAAAAATATTATAAATTCGTTTAATAATTTTATGTATAAATTGTCAAAAAAAAAATTTTTTTTTTGATTTAATTTTTTACAATTAGAAATTGATTTGAAATTACATTAATACATTAAATTTGCTCTGAATTTTTATGTAAACTATAAAGTTTCTATTTATGGTAAAATTTTACTAAATCATTTTGGAAGTAACCAAAAAAAACAAACCAAAATTCAACAAACTTTTTTGTATTTTTTAACTAAAGCGTTTGGAAATAAATGACAAAAATTGTTATGTAAAACAATTTGAAATTTTTTGGCATTTTTACCTAAGGCGTTTGGAAAAAATATCCAAAAATTTTTATGTAAAATTATTCGAAAATTTTTCGTGTTTTTAGCAAAAAAAAAAAAAAATTTGGAGAAAAAAACTTCAAAAGTTTTAATTCTGTTTAGAAATGAAAATTTTCTTTTAAATATTTGAAAAAAAAGAAGTTATTTTTTAATAGAGAGGAAAAAAATCGTAAGTTAATTATTGATTATTATTATTAATTCTAATACCTATTTTCGAATACTTCTATACGAATTAAATATTTATTGATTTATAACATTTCTGACAAGCAAAATGAAAAAATTCATAAGTAAAACTTTGATTAAATAAAGAAAATTAAAATTTTTTTTTTAAATTTCCATATGAAAATAAATGATAATAAAAAAATTACAATAAAATACAAATTAAAAAAGACAGAAAGCATACAAAAACACATGTGAGTATAAGTTGTTTTTTACTTTGTAAACTGAGTTTCTCTCTCTCTCTCTCTCTCGGCTTCTTTACAAAGTATGTACACTTTATTCTTCTTTTGCAATTTGTATTTCGTAATTTTTTAAGACTTCTCTTATTTTTAAAGAAACTAGTTTCGCAAAAATTAATTCAAATCATTAATTCTTTTTTATACTGCATTAAATACAACTTTTCTTCATGAAATTTGTAAATAAAAAATAATGATTTATGAAAAATATTAATTTTTATTATAAATGTAAACATAAATATTAACAGAAATGATTATTTGAATCAAATAAATTTTTTTTTTCATTACGTACAATTAATTTTAATACGAATATTAAAGCTATTAAAGTACATAAATGGAAAAAAAAATATTTACTTGAAACAGCGAAAGGTTTCACTAGATTAGCGAAAGAATTAACTGAAACAAGTAAAATTTTTGCTACTACAATAAAACGTTTCACTGTTCCAGGTAAATCTTTTTTTTTCCCTGTATTCTAAAGTCATATGTCAATTATTTTTATAATCTATTTTTAGTGCCCAACGGCTAAAAATAGCTATTTCTAAACATAACCTAAAAATACAAAAAAAACAAAGTCATCAGAAAAGGAATTTTCCTCTTAAATTGAGATTACTCTTTTTTTGCGTAGAAAAATTTTAACTATATAAATTTTTTTCCTGCATAAATTAAAAAAAAAATCTACTCTAAATTAAAAAAAAATATATGTTAAAATTTCCCAATAATAAAAGAGACTTTTTTCATTAGTTTTTATAATTTCTTTTTTTGAATTATTTTCTCAAAAACGATGGAATTATAATATTTGATGTATATGAATTTAGAAAAGCCACACGCAATATTTCTGGAGTGTATTTTGAGTATTATATAGAAACTTCTAATCCGAAGACAGACCGCCAGTGGGATACAATATCAGAAATAGGCATGTTAAAATAAGCGTACTCTCGATACGCGTTTCGTGATCTCTGTGTATATAGTTGGATTGGTGTGTATCAGAGGAGGTGAGAAGAGAGGTGAGGGAGAGATGGTGATGCTCTCTTGTTGGAGGGGAATGAAGAGGGGGGTCATGAAGCGAGAAACTATTAGGAATTGGTGGTGGGGATAACCCAAGAGTGCGGCAGACCGGTGCCGCACTCTCGAGAGTTGATCCTCCCTCAATTCAGAGACTGATCCCAGCCGATGATACTTATATACTGAGAAATGCTTATTTAGTCATCATACAGATATTTAATCACAAAACAATGAAAATTTTCGCTTATGCTTCTATATATATATATATAAGTTCTAAATGAAAATTTAGTTAAAACAAATAAATATAATTAGCTTTGTAATAAATATTTTTTTTTCCTCAAAAAATTGACAATTTTTTGAAACTATTGTCAATTTTTGGAGAAAAAAAAAAAAATTTGTTATATTTATTTGTTTTAACTAAATTTTTATTTAAAACTATAATAGTTATTTAGCTATGAAAAAAATATATTTTTATTTAATTCAAATATATTAAATAAAATAATAATAACAATGAGGAATAAAAAAAATTCTTTGGGTTCAAAAATTGAGAAGAAAAATAACTTATGGTATTTTTTTTTTTTTGTTCTTAAAGTACTTATATATATAAAAAATATTTTCAAGGTCGCAACTTCTAAAATGCTTTAACTGGCAAAGAATTATGACATACAGAATATTATAAATTTAACTT